CATGGGCCGCGCGCCGGAAGTGAAGGGGCTGCCATGGCAACGGCGCCGGGGGTCGCGGTGCGGGGTACGGGGGGAGCCCCGGGGATACGGACACACACACACTGGAGAGGGTCCAGCAAAGGGCTACAAAGGTGATTAGGGGATTAGAACATCTCTCATATGAGGAAAGGCTGAGGGACTTGGGTCTCTTTAGTCTAGAGGAAAGAAAATCGAGAGGGGATCTTATTAACGCTTACAAATACTTAAAGGGAGGGTGCCAGGGGGATGGGAGCAGTCTTTTTTCAGTGGTGCCCAGTGACAGGACAAGAGGTGATGGGCACAAACTTGAACATAGGAAGTTCCCCCTTAACATGAGTAGGAACTTCTTTACTTTGAGGGTAGTGGAGCACTGGAACAGGCTGCCCAGAGAGGTTGTGGAGTCTCCCACTCTGGAGACATTCCAAACCCACCTGGACGCCAGGTTGTAGGTGACTTTGCTCTGGCAGGGGGCTTGGACTAGATGATCTCCAGAGGTCCCTTCCAACCCTGACCATTCTGTGATTCTGTGAGCTGAATACAAACAGCCCGAGAGGGCGAAACGGGCTGACACAGCTGCTGTGAATTTAACACACCCGCGTTTGCTTCCCTCTGGGCCTCCACCTTTGTTTTACCCTCATGGCTCGTTTTAAACCTCACCCCTTGGTTTGTGTAGTCTCATAGATATGTTCGCGCGAGTCGTATAAAAACCCACAGCACTAAAGAAATCCTTAGTTCTAAAGAAGTGCAGCTTCATGGATGAATGCAGTGATGGATGGTCAGCTCTAAAATAATTGTAAGTTCCAAAGCCGTAAAAAGTCACGTTGTTCCTCCCTGTTCTCCCTCAGACAGGACTTGTCTTAGGTGAAACTGGTCACACTTTGACCCTGCCTGTGAGATCCAAGTAATTGCAGCTGCAGAAATACGAATGTTTGTCCTTCCATGATCTGTGCATTCCTTGTTGTGTTATATTCTACGCTTGAAATAGAAAAATAAACTTGTGTCGTGGTTTAACCCCAGCCAGCAACTAAGCACCACGCAGCCACTTGCTCGCCTCCTGCCCCTGTGGGATGGGGGAGACAATCAGAAGAGTAAAAGTGAGAAAACTCATGGGTTGAGATAGAGACAGTTTAACAGGTACAGCAAAAGCCATGCACAAGCAAAGCAAAACAAGGAATTCATTCACGGCTTCCCATCGGCAGGGGGGGGTTCAGCCATCCCCAGGACAGCGGGGCTACATCACGTGTAATGGTTACTTGGGAAGACAAACGCCATAACTGGAAACGTCCTCCCTTTCGTTCTTCCACCAGCTTTATACACTGAGCATGATGTCATATGTTATGGATATCCCTGTGGTCAGTTGGGGTCAGCTGTCCCAGCTGTGTCCCCTCCCAACTATCTGTGCTCACCTGGCCTCTTCACCAGCCGCGTGGTGTGAGGAGCAGAAAAGGCCTTGACTCCTGTGTAAGCCCTGCTCAGCAGTAACAAAAACATCCCTATGTTATCAACACTGTTTCCAGCACAAATCCAAAACATAGCCCCATGCTAGCTACTGTGTAGAAAATTAACTCTACCCCAGCCAAAACCAGCACAACTCGTTGCGGTTCCAGCTGACTTTTTCCTGCAAGTCTCTCATCTTTCTGGAATCTCATTGTTTATCTGAGGAAATGCTCAAAACCAGCATTTCCTCATCTTGTCTAACGTGCAGAATAGTCTAAAAGACTTGTCTGTCATTTTCTAGACCTTCTTACCCTGTGTCGTGGTCAACAAGAGGCTTTTCCATTGGATCAGCTGGATAATAACGTTTTCTTTGGTTAAATAATGTTTGCTGTTTTGATGGTAATGTTTTCCCTTTTTACTTCCAAGGTGATTGTAAGATAAAAACAAACAGGATTTCCCAAAGCACACAAGTTGAGGCTGTTCAGTGCCTTGCATTCAAAGCAGCCGGCGTGGAGCATGGTGCAGAAGAAGCGTATACTCAAGCAGTCATTTCCAGTTTGCTGTTCTCATGTGCTCTGTGTGCAAGTGGGGAAGCACTTCGCTGTGCCACGGAGAGGGCAAGTGGATTCTCCTTCTCTGCCAGCTTTGCTGGACACTCCAGACCAGCATCTGCATTGCGGGCACAGTGGTGGGACCTCAGGAGGATGGTCTGTTGGTGTCTCTCAGCATTTGTTGCTGCAGCCTGTGGCTGTGTCCCCGCACCATGACCAGTGCGATTCTTCCGCTGTAGCTGTCGGCCCAGCAGTAATCATGCCCAGTGCCCATGGGAGAACGGAGCCAGCTGCAGGAGTAGAGGCTGGGTGACTCACGGCTTACATGCTGGAAGAGGCTTGTGCCTTCATTGTCTCCTTCCTGCCGCTTTGACCGGGGCTGCATCGGCCAGGGATGAGATCAGGCTGTTACACAAACCTGACCTGAGGATGTGGAGCCAATCAAGTCATCATCAGTGTTGCCATAACTTCATTATTATCAGCACTGGGCTTTTTACGTGCTTATTATGGTTGCTCCAAATTGTTAGTAATGAAAATTGGACATCGTCCAGAGGTGAGGAGAAATAACTATGGCTGTAGAAACTGATGGGGAAAGGTGAAAAGAATGGTTTTGTTTAACATCTGAAAGCTCGATGGAGAGAGGGCTCAGCTTTGTACGTGTGCTGCAGAGAGGACAGCGATCAAATGTATCTACCATGAGCAGAGAAGAAATCCTTGTGTTGGTTTGAATCAAGTGAGACTGGATTCGATCTTTGGAAAAACTTTCCAGTTACAAGATGACTTAAATACTGGAACAAATTCTCAATAAAGGAGTCCCCGTCTTTGGAGGGATAAGGGTGTCTTTTTAAGAGCACATGAGAACAATGCCTATCAGGGATCACCTAAATATAACTGATGAGATGACTTGTTTGGATCTCCTCCAGCCCTTGTTTTTTAATGGTAATTTTTCCATATATCTGTGCGGTAGGTGCACATGACAAAACATGCCAACCTGCGAATGTCTGCCAGACACAAACAGCCATTTCACAGCTGAGGTTACGTGAGCTCTTCTTTGATTCACAGAGCGACTTTGGACAAGTCCTGTCTGTCCGCAGTGTCCTCAGTGCAGGCAGGCCTGCGGGGCAGGCAGGCTTTTGGCGGCAGTGGAAAGCCTGTTGAACCCAATCCCACATCCTGGTTTGGCAGGGAGACTCTTGCAGGCAAAGCTTCGTTATCCCGCTGGATCTTCACGGTGGTGTTGGGTCTGCCCTTGGAGGTCAGCACAGGGTTGCGGTGTAGGAAGACAAGAAGCACAGGGGGTCAGGGAGGAGGAATGGGATTGTAGTCTGTGAATTTTACTGCATAACATTACTTCTTAGCATCAAACGCTGTAAAATTATGCCAGCCTTCACAGGAAGACAGCAGGCAGGACATTGCAGAGGAGTCTGTGTTTCAGTGGGCTGAGGTAGGTAGGAAGGGGAATAGAAGAGGGAGAGAAACCGAGCGATTTGAATGTCAAGAGCCCCTTTCCCATCGATCTGTGTCAGCCTCAGGATGTTCCATGTCTGTGGAGCTGGGTGGGTGCGTGGAAGGGTCTGGGTCAGGCTCCTGCCACCCCATGGAAGTGGGATTTTTGTGGATGCTGTGAGCTCTGTGTCAGTTGACCTGCCCCAGCCACAGCCCAGCCATCCCCAGGAGGATCTGGGTGCAGGAGCAGTGCTCCGTGTCACCGCGAGCGTTTGCTCTTTCTTCTGGCTTCTTTTGCAAACAACCATGGTACCATCATCTGCAAGATCCCGGTGAGGGGCCACACACACCTGCCACATCCTGCTGCCACAGCAGATGTGCTTTTTTGGTTTACTTTATTCACCCTCTGACCTCTCATGAGACTGGTGCTGCACTGCAGGTAATCAATGAAAGTCAGGAAACAGCTGATGAGGAGAGGAGACACAGGACCAAAAAGCATTCAGAGACACAAATAATGTTCCTGGTGGGCACACAGTGATCTCTAGTCATTCCCGAGAGTGAGCTAGAGGGCTCTGGTGCACATCCTGCTCTCCATGGACCTGCACTGCCATGTGCGATGCGTTCAGGTGCGATCCTGCTCTGCGGGATCCGAGTCGTGTCGCTCAGTCAGGACCTGCATCTCTCTGAGGTGTTTATTTCACTAGAGAAATGTGCTTGTAAGGCATTCTCCTTCATTAGTTCCCAAAATGTTAACCAGGGTTATGGTCTGCTAAAACAGAAATGTGCCAAAATGATGGCACATTGTTCCCAAAGAGGAGGAGCTGCCGGGCGAGCGTGGAGGCAGAGGCAGAGCTCTCCTCTGTGGGAGTCCCTGGGTTGGAAGGAGCCGCACAGTCCCGCAAGTTGTTCCAGATGGTTTGCTGGGTGCGTGGAAGGGAGTCGACACTGCCAATACTGGCAGAACGGCACAGGTTACTCCGCGGGGTGTCATGCTCGAAGGTGATTAACAGCGACAGCAATGCATGATAAGCACTGAGCTGTTGGGTTAAGCTGTAGAGCTGCGAGGTGTGAAGCACTGGATCTTCAACAGGCACGGGCGGTTCGCATAGAAATTGCATCCAAATTGAGTCACGGCCACGAGGAGAAGACAAAACCTGTGTTTAAAGCATATTTCTTG